TGAGCAAATCAATCACCCGCTCGATATCATGCAGGACCAGGTTCATCTGCACCTGGTGGTGAGATTCCCTGCAACTTCGCCGAGCGTTCTCTGATACCAGATCGCTGGACTGCAGTCTCTGCAACAGCCCTGCCACGTCAGCAGGATGCTGATCCAGGATCTGACGTGGCCATCCTCCGGGAGCCGCCGCCGCATCGAACGCGGCAGTAACAGCCGTGTCCCTTTCTCTTGCGCAATCTACTCCGCCCATTACCGCCGGTACCACAACTCCGCGCGCAATCCCCCCCCCATCTTCCCCGCCGTTTGCGCCCCCCCCCGCGCGGCCCCCCCACTTCTCTCCCCCTCCTGCTCCCACACCGCTACCCGCGCTTTTCTCGCCATGAAGTCGCGACAGCTCCTTGTCAATCTGAACATCCAGCCAGGAGCGGAACAAGGCCCAGCAGGCGGACTCCCAGTCCCCGCAGGCGGGAAGCATCTTCCCCACGTTCCCGCTCATTGTCGCATAAACTGCGGCTTCGTACTTCTTTCCGCCGCCGACGGGACTACTCCCCACCTCCTCCGACACGCAATAACACGACCACTTCCACAAGCGCCGCTGCCTCCCTCTCCCCAGCTCCATCTCGATCGCCTGCATTTCCCGCCCTCTCGCTCCTTTTCCCCCGTTGGTCGCCCTCAGCACCTCCACCGTCGGTAAGGACCCCCCACCATCGCGGCAACCACTAAGAGAAGCCGCTCTCCAGAACTGCCCTGCCTGCCGACACAATTCCCGCGCCTCCTCTCTCCTTCCCGCCCTTATCAACTTCCACACGTCCTCCATCAACCTCTCTTCCTCCCGCTCATCCTCTGGGTGCAATTTGCCCTTCAGCCGGGTAGTCGCGTCCGGGTCTACCGCTCCCACCACCATCGCCGCCATCCCTCCTCCTCCTCCTCCTCTCGTTCCCCTCCCTCCTCCTGCTCCTGCCATGGCCGTCTTGTCCCTGATCGCCCGTTGCGTGTGCACCCATAACCCGTGCCTGCTGGAGTAATCTCCCACGTGGCTCCCATTTCGCTCTCTCACTCGGTCCATCTCTTCCGACGCGAGCGCCTCCAGCCATTCCACAATGCGCACGCACAGCTGCGCCGTCGGATCCGTCGTTATGTACTGACAGGCTTCTTGCTCCGACGTCGGCGGACACAGCAAATCCACTTCCGGATTGAAATCCTCGGTCTCCTTCCCGTGCAGATGCCAGAGCAGACTCCACGTGGCCGCCTCAGAGCGTAGCATCTCGCTCTTCTGCCTCATCAAATGGGCCTCCGTCGACCGATGCAAGTCGCCGATGCTATCCCGAAGCAACTGACTCATCTCCGCGCACACGTGCGAGTACTGCCGCAGCACGTCGGCCACAGACATCTTCCCCAGCAAAACCGCCTCGAATGCCTCGGCGAACTGATCGTGTGCATCCATGCTTGATGCGCCATCGACTAATCCTCCCAAGCCATTCTCTCCAGCCGCCGTCTCCTTAGGAATTCTCGCTCCACCAAAGAAATGCCCCAGCTCGCCATTGTTCACCCACCCCGACCCCGACCCCGACCCAGACCCGAAGCCTATCCCTCCAGGCCCACCCCCTCCCCCTCCAACGCCATCAGCAGTCGAACGGCGGCCGACCCCATCGGTCGCTAAACCAGCACTCGTCGTCACTGTACCGGTGCTGGCGCCTGATCTCCCCTTGGAATAACCAAAGCGCGAGGAGGGAGGATTGGAAGGAGGAGGCGGGGTGGACACGTAAGGAGTGCGGAGAGATGGAGGAAGAGGAGTCGTAAGAGATGGTGCAGGTGTGCCTGCAATCGCCTCGCCTAGCCTCCTGCTACTCGTTCCCAAAAAAAGCCCCTCCCGTCCATCGCCGTCTTCCTCTTCTTCGGCTCTCCATCCTCTTCCTCCTCCTCCTCCTCCTCCCCCTCCGTCGTCTTCTTCTTCTCCCATCTCCTCATCATCATCCTCGCCAATAATAGCCCCATTCCCCGAAGCGAACAGTTTATTATCAACATTCACCTTCCCCAAGAAACGCAATCCCGATCCCGATCTTCGCTTGGAAGAATAAGCCCCCGCTTTCCACTCTCTCGCCATATCCGCATCCTCCATCGCCGACGACGATGTCGCCCCTCGTCCGAATGGCGGCCCCCCAAGCTCGCGGAAGAACAAGGAACCCCCCCCTCCCCCCCCCGCTCCGCCAGGACGGTCCGGGGTTCGGAACCCCATCGGACTACTTGTTGACGTCAACTTCGACGGCGTTAGTCGCCGTCTTCTATGCCTCAAGAACTCCGGCCTCTCCCTCAACACCTCCTCCCCATACCCTGCAAACCCACCATCTTCCGCCTCCTCCCCTTCTTCCGCCTCCTCCCCTTCCCCGCGTTCCTCCGCCTCTTCTCCCCGCATACCGCTCACGCCACCAGGGCGCTTTGCCGCCGATCTCTTCTCACCAGCATCGGCGAGTACGTCGCCAACCCCTTGCCTCCCGCCAAAACCTATGCCTGATGAACCCAAACCCGCCGATGCTGGGGCAGACCGTCGGTACATTCCCGCCAAAAGGGGTCGCTATGTGGAGATGCAGGGAAGAGCCTGCAGAGCCGTGCGTGGCCCCGTACACCCCAACTTTGGGCCATCGACGGCCGGCGTGCTTGTCCTAATTAACCCATAACCCATCACAAGAACACACGTGCGCGCCGACAGTCGTCCGTACTCCTCCCTATAGCGCACGCCGGCGGCATACGCCCCCTCTTCCTCCCCACCCTCTACGCTCCCGAATGACCGGCCACCTGAAGGCTGCCGCCAAAAGCCACCCGCTCGTCCTCCTCCTCGGCCTCGCTAGCTCTACCATGTGCTTTTCGAATTGCAGGTTGGATATCCGTTACCCAACCAACACGAAAACCCGCTCTGACTACAGGGCCTGGTTCATTACCGCCCTCGTGGTGGACCAGCCCTTGTACGCTAAACAAGCCCGTATCTTCACCGACGACGCCCCACAACCCCCTTACCAACTGCGTATTTCTCAGCCCTAAGGATGCACTTCAGTGCGGTGGTCCGTCTGTTTAGGGTTAGCCGGGAAAGTGTGTTGGGAGGGGGTCAGTCTTGTCTGGGAACCTTTGGACGGGGAGGGGTCCATATTGTTTCGACCCAGCAAAAAGACTTAGCCCTTCCGCTCTGGAGGCACCAACTACGACCTGATAAAACTGGCCAAATTTCAAAGACTCCAACCACTTCTTTTTGTTGGATCCCTCAAGCCATTTGATAATGGGGGGCGAGTTGCTCATCAACTTTGGCACAAGATGTAAAACTCCTTTCTCCAGGCCTGCAAATTGCTCCCTCTCTCTCTCTCTCTACACACACACACACACACACACACACACACACACACACATATGATTTTAGAATTGCACATTCTCTCTCTCTCTCTCTCTCTCTCTCTCTCTCTCTCTCTCTCTCTCTCTCTCTCTCTCTCTCTCTCTCTCTCNTCTCTCTCTCTCTCTCTCTCTCTCTCTCTCTCTCTCTCTCTCTCTCTCTCTCTCTCACACACACACACACACACACACACACACGCACACATACATACATATATGATTAAGAATTGCACATTTGTTTGCACACGTGCCGAACGTCAAAAGCATCTCGAAGTTCATTACGTGACGCTCTTCACTTTCGCCCATCAATGGTTGTTGTTATCAGCACTTCCCCTGCCACTGGAAATTTTTAGCGACCAGTAACCCTAGTGCATGACGCCTACCGGTAGCACAGTGTGGAAAATGGTATAATAAAAAAAATAAAATTTATATCAAATCGGCGTGATGATTATTTCACCGTCGAACATAATTTTTTATATTTTTTTTTATATTTTTCGTGAAAAGAGTACCCTAATCTACCGGATCTCAAAATTTACATTTTTCTGTAAATTTTACTAAATTATTATAAGTACAAAAAAAAATTGAAGTTTGAGTAGTTTTCCGTTCGCAGTGGCAGAGTGCCAAAAGTAGAAATTGCGACGAATAGGAGCGACAATTATTTGCTTCGCCTTTTTTTCCTTAATATTTTTTCTGTAAATAATACGACATGATATACCTGACCTGAAAATTTGATACTTTCTAGTGTATTATTATGGGTGCAATTTTTTATTTTTTTGCTTGTCGACCTTCGTTCCAATCGTCGTTAACCTCCGCTTCTTTCGGGCCTACTGACCTATAAAGGTCTTAGAAAACTAATTTATTGATGTTGGGAGGGGTGACGGTTTTACTCATCCATGAAAACTATTTAAATTCATTGACACATATCTATATGCATACTTATACTACACATTAATAATGAAGCCCCCTCCCCCCCCAATTGCCTCCCAAGCCTCAACGCTCATAAAGGACCAACATTAAAAAAATATTGCAACCAAGATAATTTTTTCCTTGTAAAAATTAATGGTGATCAGGCCACGAGCACATTTTTCTCTAATCACACTCCTAATATGTGTTTGTAAATTGTATGTTGGACATTCATGACCCAACACATAATAAAACCTTGTTTAAGTAGTCACCTTGGTTCATAACCTATCCTAACGATGAATGAATTTATGCAGACTAAGTATATTATTGAGTTCATTGTTATCAACTGTGATGATCCCTATGTATAATGCAATTAAACTATCTCTCTTCTCATGATTCATTAATTGGCCTTCTATTCATGTCATGTGGAAGTTTATGCAACACAACTATAGTAAGGTTCATCAGGCCAGTCAAGTACACCAAGTCACATTTTATTGAACCTTATAACATGGTAAAAAGGATAACGCAAGTATTCGAAAACCCAATAGCTAACCACCAGTTTTGATAATACAAACTCACAAAGTTATTCATACACAAAATATGTATTTTGTATATTGTAGCAGAGGTATATTGGTTCATAACATTTAATCATATATCAATATTAATATACGTTATTAACAACGCTATCGTGAAACTGAATATGTCTCCAACTTCTTTTTTTTCAAAACAAAAAAAATATTTGCCTGAACATGTTTGTGAGTTGTTCGTGCGAACGTAGAGGGGCGAGTACACGTTCACAGTGCTACTCAGGCTCTGAGTATGTGTCTACCCCCAGTAACCTGTCATTTTCCTCGAACCAAATATCGAATCATAATATTGTATCGTTAGTAAGTTAGTTGGTAAATTATTATCTTGGACGTTTTCTCTCAACCTCATACTATGCGGAAATAATGCATATGATTATAAAATGACTCTTACATATTTTTGTATGTGATTTTTCTTCACATGCGTGCATCAATGTGCAAGTAAAAAGTTATAGGTCGCTTGTGAGTATGTAACATACAAAATCGCATAATTTTATTTCAGCGAACAATAAATGATTATTGTATTTGAAATGAAAATAGTGCATAAAAAATATTTATATATCTATGCTACTAGAGTGGCACAAGATCACTTGCCCGACCGGGTAAAAAAAAAAAAAAAATCATAAATTTATAAAAATATTTTTTTAACTTATTTTTTATTTTATATTAAATAAAAAAATTTCGATGTGACCCTCGGGCAAACGTTGTCCAATTTATTTTTTTGCATAACATAGTTTTTTTTTTAAGTTTTTAGATTTTTTAAAGTTTTTTATTTTTTGTTGGAACCATCATTGGTCCTTGCACGGGCTGGTCACTCCAAACCCGGATGGCCCGGCTGGTAGCCTAGCTATATATATATTATATTTTGAGTTTATATTATTGGTTATTCATGCTAAAAATTGGTTGTAGAAACATTTCATAAAAATTATAAATTAGAAAATATGAAAAAATAAATTTACAATATTGATTTCTGCTTATAAATTATTATTGTATTATTTGTATGATTAACGAGATACTTTATTTTCAGTTAAAAGTTTTATATATATATATTTTTAATTAAATTATGACATCGTTTTCTTTTGATATAATTTTTTTTTTTTAAGCATAAAAAAATAACTCATTATCCCGAATTTAACATATAGATGAAATGATTCTTTGATATAAATATTTTTTATGTTCACATTCGAATGGTTTCGGACGTCTATTCGCGTTCGGGCGAACATGTTCGAGTTCACCTCCGAACGCGAACACAATGCTATTTAGCTCAAAACCAGACTCTTATATAAAACTTCACTCGTGAATAAGTAAATATTCAGGAACAACAACAACAAGAACAACAAAATATCAAAATCACAATGAAGTGGTGTGAAACTGGTCATGACACAATATGTTATATTAATGTTCATGACTAGTAAAGGAGCTTGACGATTAAGCTAATATAAGGGTGTATAAGGAAAAACGACAAGAAAAATGTTCGAGGGACTCAAATGTATAAAATGTGTTAGTATTGAGGATATGTAGAAAATAACGAATTTATCACTAAGTTAATGTACAAGGATTTAACACTAACCAGATATGTGATACAATTCACCGCTTAAATGTCAAAAAAAAAATTATAGCAAAGGTATTTGCTTATATTTCATAAAATATATTTACGACTCGATAACATGTTTTGTGCAATTTTTATGTTAGAATGACGATCGTAGGATGAATATTATAAGATAGCATATTACTAGGCAGTGCAAATATATTGGATTAATCTGGCATTAGCACAACATGCACAAATGTTACAGATTTAATATGAAACACAAACTACATCGAGGTTAATAGTTTTTCTCGATATCGGTGAAAAAACAAATAACATAAGTTTAAGGAAAAAACTCGTCCTACTATTAGGTTTGAGGGACTTATGCCTCGGTAAAAATAACAATAACAATAATGTATGTATCAAATAAGTAGACGTAATGAATTTTCTATGTAGTAGGAAGCGAGACTAAAACTTTAGTCTTGTAGATTATTCTTGACAACATTCATTAATTTTATAATTATAAAGATGAAATTTAATTCAAACTTTAAGTTATAGTGGACATACGATAAAAACATAAAAAATTTACTTCTTTTCTTTTCATTACATGTAGGACGTAATAACTTACTAATAAGGATATATAAAAAATATGAGTAGTGGTGTTCCTATTAAGTAGGAGAGGAGATTCAAACACTATCAAACTACCCTTCGCAACATTTGTTCAAATTAAAACAATGCGCAAAATATCAGTTTGACCTTTAAGTTAAAATAGGTTGAGCGATCACAACAAAAGGAGAAAAAATTGGGGGACTTTGATTCCCACTACGGAAGAATCTCGCTACCTTTACGGTCAAATATAACTTAAAAAACCTATAAAAAATTAATTGTTATTAAAAATTATTATAAAACTAATATACTATAATAACGCAAGTGCTCAACCTCGAAGGCAAGATATTAACATAGTCGTGCCAATAACGGTAATTGACAGGTAATCATTCAACCTACAAATAACAACGTGAAGCAAAGTGATGCCCCAATATGTGAATTGCTATGTATTCAATTGTCCCCAATAGCAAAAAAATAAATCACCATGACAAGAGATGAATCATAGAAGTAAGAATAACAATCATGACCAACAACAACAATAGGCAAAGTAGCAATAACACCAATAAGGGTAACACTAGGTAGAGCAACAATAACGTTAATCAAAGCAACAAGAGACTAGTGTGGCTAGCGATTGATGTACGCACGATGACTTGTTGCATATGTAATAGTTTCAATTACCCTCAGTTCAATTATATCGTAGCATATGAC